GCACTTTAAGAAATTTTAATGAAAATAAGAAAAATTTTTGGAGTTAAACAAGTTAAGAAAGCCTAGGGAACGAATGGATTTGTCGGTTAAAATCAGAGTAGGGGAATTAGTAGATGGGGAGGTGGCGGTATTGTGTAGATGGCGAGAATATTTTGAGGAACTTTTAAATGACGACGAAGAAAGGGAGGCGGTAATTTCATGCACTGGCCAGGGAGGTATACCATCTTTTAAGAGTGAGGAAGAGCAGGATGTGAGTGTGGGGGAGGTGCGTGAGGCATTACATAGAATGAAAGGGGGTAAAGCAGCTGGAACTGATGGGAGCATGACAGAAATGTTAAAAACAGGGGGGATATAGTGTTGAAGTGGTTAGTATTTTTGTTTAATAAATGTATGAAAGAGAGGAAGGTACCTAGGGATTGGCAGAGAGCATGTATAGTCCCTTTATATAAAGGAAAAGGGGACTAAAGAGACTGTAAAAATTATAGAGGAATAAGTTTACTGAGCATACTAGGAAAAGTGTACGGTAGGGTTATTATTGAAAGAATTAAAGGCAAGACAGAATGTAGGATTGCGGATGAGCAAGGAGGTTTTAGAGTGGGTAGAGGTTGTGTAGATTAAGTGTTTACATTGAAGCATATATGTGAACAGTATTTAGATAAAGTTTTTATTGCATTTATGGATTTAGAAAAGGCATATGATAGAATTATAGGTAGTAGGTTGGTAGACAGCAACCGCCCAGGGAGGTACTGCCGTCCTGCCAAGTGAGAGTAAAACGAAAGCCTGTAATTGTTTTACATGATGGTAGGATTGCTGGTGTCTATTCTTCTGTCTCATAAACATGCAAGGTTTCAGGTATGTCTTGCTACTTCTACTTACACTTAGGTCACTCTAAACTTACATGTACAAGCATATATATACACACACCTCTGGGTTTTCTTCTATTTTCTTGCAAGTTCTTGTTCTTGTTTATTTCCTCTTACCTCCATGGGGAAGTGGAACAGAATTCTTCTTCCGTAAGCCATGCGTGTTGTAGGAGGCGACTAAAATGCCAGGAGCAAGGGGCTAGTAACTCCTTCTCCTTTATGTATTACTAAATGTAAATGTAAAAGGAGAAACTTTCATTTTTCCTTTTGGGACACCCTGCCTCAGTGGGATACGGCAGGTGTGTTGAAAGAAAGACGAAATGTATGAAAGAGGGGAAGGTACCTAGGGATTGGCAGAGGGCATGTATAGTCCCTTTATATAAAGGGAAGGGGGACAAAAGAGATTGTAAATATTATAGAGGAATAAGTTTACTGAGCATACTAGGAAAAAGTGTACAGTAGGGTTATTATTGAAAGAATTCTTCCTCCACAAGCCATGCGACTAAAATGCTGGGAGCAAGGGCTAGTAACCCCTTCTGTATAAATTACTAAATTTAAAAAGTGAAACTTTTGTTTTTCTTTTTGGGCCACCCTGCCTTGGTGGGATACGGCCAGTGCATTGAAAGAATATGAGAGTGGATGGGGAGCAATGTGGCAGATGTTGCAAGTTTATGGAATAGGTGGTAAGTTACTAAATGCTGTAAAGAGTTTTTATGAGGATAGTGAGGCTCAAGTTAGGGTGTGTAGAAGAGAGGGAGACTACTTCTTGGTAAAAGTAGGTCTTAGACAGGGATGTGTAATGTCACCATGGTTGTTTAACCCTTTCAGGGTCGAGAGGCCCTCTCCGAAACTTGTTCCCAGGGTCGAAAATTTTTCGGAAAAAAAAAAAACTATTTTTTTCTTATGAAAAGATAGAGAATCTTTTCTCGATCATAATGACACCAAAAGTATGAAATTTAATGGAAAACTTAGGGAATTATGCTCTCACAAAGTTAGCAGTCTCGACGATGTTTACTCATCAGCGATTTCACCCACTCTGAGCCCTAATTTTGGCCAATTCCACTGTACTAGTTGGCAAAAATCATAACTATTTCGCTAGAACTCCATTTTTTCTATTGAATAAGTACAAGAAACCACCCATTTACCGACTTCAACTATCCAATAAAGTGGTCAGAAATTGGCAATTTTGCAAATTTCACACAAATTTCAAAAGATGCCAATTTCCAAACAGGGTCCAGAATAAACAAGAAAGACATTCTTGGCACTAAAATAACATTTTCTCTATTCATTAGTCACATCCCCAGGCCCCTCTTACATTTCTTTTGCTTTCCACTTTGAATTTTTATTCTCACAAAAAATAGAAAATTTACTGTTATGTAGACTACTGCATTAGTGTAGAAATGGTATAAATAATATCAGCGCACTTGTGAAAGAATATCAGACTCACCAGCTGACGTGCATTGGACGCGTGGCATGATTTGTTTACTTTTGAACTTTGGCAAAAATCGAACATTTCTGCTAATTTGAGCTCAATTTCAAGGTACTTTTCATTGTGAAACCAATCAAAATCATCTCAATTTCTGTAATATGTCTTCCATTCTATAAAATGAAACCATGAAAACTAGAATACATCCATAAATACCATACGAAAATGCAGTGCAAATTCGCCGTTTTAAACCAAAAACACAGTCAAAGTTTTTTTCTCTCATTACGCACTGTGTGGTGCAGGATTTTTTTTTATACTGCGCACACTGACCACTTACACCCATTCTTTCATATGTAGGCCTACCAGCTTTCTCTTGCTAGATTTGAGGGCACTAGAATTTAGGCGTACTATAACATCAATAACCTTGGTGCGTAAGCATTACTAGTACGTCAGAAACCCTGAAAGGGTTAATATATTTATAGATGGGATTGTAAAAGAAGTAAATGCTAGGGTGTTTGGGAGAGGGGTGGGATTAAATTATGGGGAATCAAATACAAAATGGGAATTGACACAGTTACTTTTTGCTGATGATACTGTGCTTATTGGAGATTCTAGAGAAAAACTGCAAAGGTTAGTAGATGAGTTTGGGAGTGTGTGTAAAGGTAGAAAGTTGAAAGCGAACACAGAAAAAGAGTAAGGTGATGAGGGTATCAGATTATTTAGATAAAGAAAAACTGGATATCAAATTGGGGAGGAGGAGTATGGAAGAAGTGAATGTTTTCAGATATTTGGGAGTTGATGTGTCAGCGGATGGATTTACGAAGGATACGGCCGGTTTGTTGAAAAAAGAAAGAAAGAAGAGGTTAATCAAAGAATTGATGAAGGAAAAAAGGTGAGTGGTGCGTCGAGGTATACGTGGAGAGAAAAAAAATGTTATCTATGGAGGCAAAGAAGGTAATGTATGAAAGTATAGTAGTACCAACACTCTTATATGGGTGTGAAGCTTGGGTTGTAAATGCTGCAGTGAGGAGGCAGTTGGAGGCAGTGGAGATGTCCTGTCTAAGGGCAATGTGTGGTGTAAATATTATGCAGAAAATTCGGAGTGTGGAAATTAGGAGAAGGTGTGGGGTTAATGAAAGTATTAGTCAGAGGGCTGAAGAGGGGTTGTTGAGGTGGTTTGGTCATTTAGAGAAAATGAATCAAAGTAGAATGACATGGAGAGCGTATAAATCTGTAGGGGAAGGAAGGCGGGGTAGGGGTCGTCCTCGAAAAGGTTGGAGGGAAGGGGTAGAGGAGGTTTTGTGGGCGAGGGGCTTGGACTTCCAGCAAGCGTGCATGAGCGTGTTAGATAGGAGTGAATGGAGACGAATGCTATTTGGGACCTGATGAGCTGTTGAAGTGCAAGCAGGGTAATATTTAGTGAAGGGATTCAGGGAAACCGGTTATTTTTATATAGCCAGACTTGAGTCCTGGAAATGGGAAGTACAATGCCTGCACTTTAAAGGAGGGGTTTGGGATATTGGCAGTTTGGAGGGATATGTTGTGTATCTTTACACGTATATGCTTCTAAACTGTTGTATTCTGAGCACCCCTGCAAAAACAGTGATTATGTGTGAGTGAGGTGAAAGTGTTGTATTTTCTTTTTGGGGATTTTCTTTCTTTTTGGGTCACCCAGCCTCGGTGGGAGATGGCAAACTTGTTAAAAAAAAAAAAAAGTATGTATATACATGAATCATTCACAATACACCTCAACTGTTTTACATTTTGTACGAAAAAATATTTACTATCAAAATTTATCCATTTACAATAATTATTATGTACTAGACATATCAGATATTTCATTGGAAGATTTCTAGCTGTGATCTATGGCTATCTGTTTTTTTGTTTTAAACAGTCACCTTTTTTTTTTTTTTCAACAAGTCGGCCGTCTCCCACCGAGGCAGGGTGACCCAAAAAAGAAAGAAAATCCCCAAAAAGAAAATACTTTCATCATCATTCAACACTTTCACCACACTCATACATTATCACTGTTTTTGCAGAGGTGCTCAGAATACAACCGTTTAGAAGCATATACGTATAAAGATACACAACACATCCCTCCAAACTGCCAATATCCCAAACCCCTCCTTTAAAGTGCAGGCATTGTACTTCCCATTTCCAGGACTCAAGTCTGGCTATATAAAAATAACCGGTTTCCCTGAATCCCTTCACTAAATATTACCCTGCTCACACTCCAACAGCTCGTCAGGTCCCAGGTACCATTCGTCTCCATTCACTCCTATCTAACACGCTCACGCACGCTTGCTGGAAGTCCAAGCCCCTCGCCCACAAAACCTCCTTTACCCCCTCTCTCCAACCCTTTCGAGGACGACCCCTACCCCGCCTTCCTTCCCCTATAGATTTATATGCTTTCCATGTCATTCTATTTTGATCCATTCTCTCTAAATGACCAAACCACCTCAACAACCCCTCTTCTGCCCTCTGACTAATACTTTTATTAACTACACCTTTTCCTAATTTCCACATTCCGAATTTTCTGCATAATATTTACCAATATTAACCAATGGTTATTTAAAAACAACCTGTTACTTTCTTTCTTACAATTTACCCTGTGCTCTTTTAAAAAAAATTGAAAAAGTGGATACTGAAAACACAAATCTATTTCTCCTGAGGACCTCCACCATTCCACTATGGTACTAAGGTATCTTTACCTGCAACATTCCTGAAGGCTTCAGAGCTATTCTCGTCACGTGACCTTACACAACAGAGAAAGCGACAGCGTTTCTCCCACAGCTGAATATAATGACTCCTGAGAAGAGAACAATTCATACAATTTCTAATACAAATCCTTGTTGTACAATGTGACTATATTAGTCTCTGGTAATACAAAAAATTAATGCTTAAACAGTACAAGGAAAATAAATATTCAGCACCAAAAAACTGAAGTTGTTTTCAAGTTATATACAGATCTCCCTCAACATTCGCGTTTTCAACTTTCGCGGGCTTCACACATTCGCGAATTTTAAACCGCCAAATCATATTTAAGTTCACCGCCACGAGTCCTTACTACCCTCCCTCCGACCCCTGCAACTGGCAGCCAGCCCTCCCACCACTGTGTGGTGAGTGTTTTGTTTGTTCATTATTTGCTATTAAACAACAATATAAATAATGTCAACCTATCCATGACTGCATATTAGAATGGCTATTCGGACAGGTATTGGAAGGTGACATCATGTGTTTACTCTTGAACACAGCAAAGAATCAAAAATTTCTGCTACTGCTAATAATAATAATAATAATAATAATAATAATATAATAATATATATGGAGAGTAAAAGATAGGTAAAGAGAGTGGTGAGAGAGTGCAAAAGGAGAGCAGATGATAGAGTGGGAGAGGCACTGTCAAGAAATTTTAATGAAAATAAGAAAAAATTTTGGAGTGAGTTAAACAAGTTAAGAAAGCCTAGGGAAAGTATGGATTTGTCAGTTAAAAACAGAGTAGGGGAGTTAGTAGATGGGGAGATGGAGGTATTAGGTAGATGGCGAGAATATTTTGAGGAACTTTTAAATGTTAAGGAAGAAACAGAGGCAGTAATTTCATGCACTGGTCAGGGAGGTATACCATCTTTTAGGAGTGAAGAAGTGTGGGGGAGGTACGTGAGGCATTACGTAAAATGAAAGGGGGTAAAGCAGCTGGAACTGATGGGATCATGACAGAAATGTTAAAAGCAAGGGGGAATATAGTGTTGGAGTGGTTGGTACTTTTGTTTAATAAATGTATGAAAGAGGGGAAGGTACCTAGGGATTGGCAGAGAGCATATATAGTCCCTTTATATAAAGGGAAAGGGGACAAAAGAGACTGTAAAAATTATAGAGGAATAAGCTTACTGATAATACCAGGAAAAGTGTACGGTAGGGTTATAATTAAAAGAATTAGAGGTAAGACAGAATGTAGGATTGCGGATGAGCAAGGAGGTTTCAGAGTGGGTAGGGGATGTGTAGATCAAGTGTTTACATTGAAGCATATATGTGAACAGTATTTAGATAAAGGTAGGGAAGTTTTTATTGCATTTATGGATTTAGAAAAGGCATATGATAGAGTGGATAGAGGAGCAATGTGGCAGATGTTGCAAGTACAGTGGACCCCCGCATAACGATGGCATCACATAGCGATTATTTCGCATACCGCTTGCTTTAATTGCAAAAATTTTGCCTCACATACCGCTTAAAAACCCGCTTACCGATTTTCGTCCGAGACGCGTCCAATGTGCGGCCTGAGCCACGCTCACATGTTCCGCCGGTGGCATTGTTTACCAGCCAGCCTCCGCGGTAACATCCAAGCATACAATCGGAATATTTCGTATTATTACAGTGTTTTCGGTGCTTTTTCTGGAAAATAAGTGACTATGGGCCCCAAGAAAGCTTCTAGTGCCAACCCTACAGCAATAAGGGTGAGAATTACAATAGAGATGAAGAAAAAGATCATTGATAAGTATGAAAGTGGAGTGCATGTCTCCGAGCTGGCCAGGTTGTATAATAAACCCCAATCAACCATCGCTACTACTGGTGGTACAGCTGCTGCTGCTGCTGCACTGTCAGCTGCTGCTGCTGCTGCACTGTCAGCTGCTGCTGCTGCTGTAGCACCGTTGTTGGTGTGGCTTATTGAGAATACCAAGAAACAATTAACCCCAGAGGATTTGCCACCCAGGATAACCCAAAAAAGTCAGTGTCATCGAAGACTGTCTAACTTATTTCCACTGGGGTCCTTAATCTTGTCTCCCAGGATGCAACCCACACAAGTCGACTAACACCCAGGTGAACAGGGAAAAATGCCTGGAACTAGTGCTCATATTGGTGAATTTAAAGCCAGCAAAGGTTGGTTTGAGAGATTTAAGAATCGTAGTGGCATACACAGTGTGATAAGGCCTGTTCTGGAAGAAAATGCCAAACAGGACCTACAGTATTCAGGAGGAAAAGGCACTCCCAGGACACAGTGTCTAATCAGTCATTGGTGCATCTTCAATAAAGGTAAGTCATTTATTCTTCATTTAGTAGACTAGTACATGCACAATATATACTGTGCATGTACTACTCTACTATTGTGCATGTATCCTTCTCTTTGTGTGTGGGAAAATGTATATTTCATGTGGTAAAATTTTTTTTTTCATACTTTTGGGTGTCTTGCACGGATTAATTTGATTTCCATTATTTCTTATGGGGAAAATTCATTCACATAGCGATTATTTCGCATAACAATTACCCCTCTTGCACGGATTAAAATCGTTAACCGGGGGTCCACTGTATATGGAATAGGTGGTAAGTTATTAATGCTGTAAAGAGTTTTTATGAGTATAGTGAGGCTCAGCTTAGGGTGTGTAGAAGAGAGGGAGACTACTTCCCGGTAAAAGTAGGTCTTAGACAGGGATGTGTAATGTCACCATGGTTGTTTAATATATTTACAGATAGGGTTGTAAAGGAAGTAAATGCTAGGGTGTTCGGGAGAGGGGTGGGATTAAATTTTGGGGAATCAAATTCAAAATGGGAATTGACACAGTTACTTTTTGCTGATGATACTGTGCTTATGGGAGATTCTAAAGAAAAATTGCAAAGGTTAGTGGATGAGTTTGGGAATGTGTGTAAAGGTAGAAAGTTGAAAGTGAACATAGAAAAGAGTAAGGTGATGAGGGTGTCAAATGATTTAGATAAAGAAAAATTGGATATCAAATTGGGGAGGAGGAGTATGGAAGAAGTGAATGTTTTCAGATACTCGGGAGTTGATGTGTCGGCGGATGGATTTATGAAGGATGAGGTTAATCATAGAATTGATAAGGGAAAAAATGTGAGTGGTGCGTCGAGGTATATGTGGAGTCAAAAAACGTTATCTATGGAGGCAAAGAAGGAATATATGAAAGTATAGTAGTACCAACACTCTTATATGGGTGTGAAGCTTGGGTGGTAAATGCAGCAGCGAGGAGACGGTTGGAGGCAGTGGAGATGTCCTGTTTAAGGGCAATGTGTGGTGTAAATATTATGCAGAAAATTCGGAGTGTGGAAATTAGGAAAAGGTGTGGAGTTAATAAAAGTATTAGTCAGAGGGCAGAAGAGGGGTTGTTGAGGTGGTTTGGTCATTTAGAGAGAATGGATCAAAGTAGAATGACATGGAAAGCATATAAATCTATAGGGGAAGGAAGGCGGGGTAGGGTTCGTCCTCGAAAGGGTTGGAGAGAGGGGGTAAAGGAGGTTTTGTGGGTAAGGGGCTTGGACTTCCAGCAAGCGTGCGTGAGCGTGTTAGATAGGAGTGAATGGAGACGAATGGTACTTGGGACCTGATGATCTGTTGGAGTGTGAGCAGGGTAATATTTAGTGAAGGGATTCAGGGAAACCGGTTATTTTCATATAGTCGGACTTGAGTCCTGGAAATGGGAAGTACAATGGGAAGTACAAGGAGGGGTTTGGGATATTGGCAGTTTGGAGGGATATGTTGTGTATCTTTATATGTGTATGCTTCTAGACTGTTGTATTCTGAGCACCTCTGCAAAAACAGTGATAATGTGCGAGTGTGGTGAAAGTGTTGAATGATGATGAAAGTATTTTTCTTTTTGGGGATTTTCTTTCTTTTTTGGGTCACCCTGCCTCGGTGGGAGACAGCCGACTTGTTGAGAAAAAAAAAAAAAAAAAAAAAAAATAATAATAATAATAATAATAATAATAATAAATACGATAGAATTGAAGAAGGAAATTGTACAAAAATACGAGGGTTGAAGCAGTGGTGGAGGAAGTGGTTGACGCATTGTCAGTGTGGCTTTGTTTATGCTGGAGTGAGTATTAGTCTCCGAGCTCTTCCAAACATTTCACAATAATTCATTGTATTTGGTGCTTGTAGATTGAGTGTGACTGGAGTGGTTGAGGCAGTGGTAGAGGCAGTGATAGAGGCAGTGGGTGAGGCAGTGGGTGAGGCAGTGGGTGAGGCAGTGGGTGAGGCAGTGGTAGAGGCAGTGGTAGAGGCAGTGGAGGCATGGTGAGGCAGTGGTGAGGCAGTGGTGAGGCAGTGGGTGAGGCAGTGGGTGAGGCATGGGGTGGTGAGGCAGTGGGTGAGGCAGTGGGTGAGGCAGTGGGTGAGGCAGTGGGTGAGGCAGTGGGTGAGGCAGCAGTTGAGGCAGTGGTAGAGGCAGTGGTAAAGGCAGTGGGTGAGGCAGCAGTTGAGGCAGTGGTAAAGGCAGTGGGTGAGGCAGTGGGTGAGGCAGTGGTAGAGGCAGTGGGTGAGACAATGGTAGAGGCAGTGATAGAGGCAGTGGGTGAGGCAGCAGTTGAGGCAGTGGTAGAGGCAGTGGTAAAGGCAGTGGGTGAGGCAGTGGTAGAGGCAGTGGTAAAGGCAGTGGGTGAGGCAGTGGTAGAGGCAGTGATAGAGGCAGTGGTGAGGCAGCAGTTGAGGCAGTGGTAGAGGCAGTGGTAAAGGCAGTGGGTGAGGCAGTGGGTGAGGCAGTGGTAGAGGCAGTGGGTGAGACAGTGGTAGAGGCAGTGATAGAGGCAGTGATATTTACTAACATATATGTTATAAATAATAATAGTACATTATGAATAACTATTATTATTATTATAAATGTTATTAATATTAACATGTACTATTATTATTTATAACATATATGTTAGTAAATACCACTGCCTCACCCACTGCCTCTACCACTGCCTTTATCACTGCCTTTATCACTGCCTCTATCACTGCCTCTACCACTGCCTCACCCACTGCCTCACCCACTGCCTCACCCACTGCCTCACCCACTGCCTCACCCACTGCCTCTATCACTGCCTCTACCACTGCCTCAACCACTCCAGTCACACTCAATCTACAAGCACCAAATACAATTAATTATTGTGAAATGTTTGGAAGAGCACGGAGACTAATACTCACTCCAGCATAAACAAAGCCACACTGACAATGCGTCAACCACTTCCTCCACCACTGCTTCAACCCTCGTATTTTTGTACAATTTACTTCTTCAATTCTATCGTATTTATTATTATTATTATTATTATTATTATTATTAATATGTATTATTATTTTTATTATATTATTATTTTTATATTATTATTATTATTATTATTATTATTATTATTAATATGTATTATTATTTTTATTATATTATTATTTTTATTATATTATTATTATTATTATATTATTATTATTATTATTATTATTAGAAGTAGCACAAATGTTTGATTCTTTGCTGTGTTCAAGAGTAAACACATGATGTCACCTTCCAATACCTGTCCAAATAGCCATTCCAATATACAGTCATAAATGGGTTGACATTATTTATACTGTAGTTTAATAGCAAATAATGAACAAACAAAACACTCACCACACAGTGGTGGGAGGGCTGGCTGCCAGTTGTGGGGGGTCGGAGGGAAGGTAGTAGGGACTTGCAGTGGTGGAGGCAGTGGTATTTAATAACATACATGTTGTTAAGGCATAACGTATGTATTTAGTACAATTTACGACGTTTTCATGTATTTTATGATTGTTCATGGTTCAACAAGTTAAGGAAGCAGTATTGTATTATATTTCCCTACAATATATTTTGGCACCAAACATTCATGGTTTTTCAACATTCGCGAGGCTCTTGATCCCCTAACCCTCGTGAATGTTGAGGGAGACCTGTATTAAATTCACAGATGGGTTTCCTTTTAATCTAACACAGCACTATCCATACAAGTAAATGTTTAATGCATGTAAGCTAATTTTAGTAAAGTTATAAAATTTGTGGCATTAGCCAATGTGAGAAGTGCACACAATTAACAGAAAATAAACAGCCCAAAACAAGCACAGGGTCACTATCCTACCCTAAAGCGCCACCTTCAACAAGCCCCTGCCTGCTGGGTCGCTTCATGGGATCGAACAGCAAAAGAATCCCAACAATAATGAGTCCAATGGCCACCCAGGTGTAGATGACAAGAGCTGAAACAAAAGTACCATGAGATAAGAAAAAAGCAGAGCTACATAATTTTTTTTAACACACCGGCTGTCTCCTACCGAGGTAGGAGTGATGAGTGTGTGTGTGAAAGAGCACAAATACACTGGCACAGGTGGCCGACAGCTCAGGGAACAATGAAAACAGATAGGTCCCGGATGTGGCTGCTTTGACCAGTACCAAGCAAATGTTTGAGTTAGTGGACTTGGCCCAATAATTCAGCTGACAAGTGGACATTATCACTAAGAGCAAAAAATGCAGAGTTATGGAGTTATGGTCTGATGATTAAGAGCAGTTCTCAGACTCAATTTTTTTTTTTAAATTGCCAAAATCAATTAATGAGAGAGTTTACTACTTATAAACACACTAACAAAACTATTCACTGCAAAAGATAAAAACATTCACACAAGAACTCAATAAGTCAATAAATACAAATGCATACAATCAAAATATCCACTATTAGTCATAAAATCATAAAAGTAGTAATATCAAATGAACCCCTAAATATTTTCTCAATGTCAACAGTTTTTTGGTGTAATGCTAAGGTAACCCAACATTAGGCACCTCTTGAGAAGTTATTGAATCAAGGACACCCTCAAAAACCTCCAGTAATCTTCAAAATAAATCATAAAAAACTTCTGACATGAATGCATTGGTTAAACATATACACTGGAAGATCAAGTACTTTACCAGGAATGTTGCCCTTCAGAACATGTCAGGTTCTAGCAAAGTATTTAAATACAAGTAACTAATTAACCTTTTGGGGGTTTCGGCTGTACTATTACGGCTTACGCCCCAGGGTTTTTGACGTACTAGTACGCCTAAATTCTAGCGCCCTCAAATCTAGTGAGAGAAAGCTGGTAGGCCTACATATGGAAGAATGGGTCTATGTGGTCAATGTGCCAAGTATAAAAAAAAATCCTGCAGCACACAGTACGTAATGAGAAAAAAAAACTTTGACCGTGTTTTTGGAATAAAACAGCGACTTTGCACTGTATTTTCATATGGTATTTATTGTTGTATTCTAGTTTTCTTGGTTTCATTTTATAGAATGGAAGACATATTACAGAAATTGAGATGATTTTTACTGGTTTTACAAAGAAAAGTACCTTGAAATTGAGCTCAAAGTAGCAGAAATGTTCGATTTTTACCAAAGTTCAAAAGTAAACAAATCATGCCAAGCGTCCAATACATGTCAACTGGTGAGTCTAATATTCTTTCACAAGTGCGCTGATATTATTTACACCATTTCTACAATAATGCAGTAGTCTGCATAACAGTAAATCTTCTATTTTTTGTAAGAATAAAAATTCAAAGTGGAAAGCCAAAGAAATATAAGAGGGGCCTGGGAATGTGACTAACGAACAGAGAACTTGTTATTTTAGTGCCAGGAATGTCTTTCTTGTTTATTCTGGACCCTATTCGGAAATTGGCATCTTTTGAAATTTGTGTGAAATTGGCAAAATTGCTAAATTCTGACCACTTTATTGGATAGTTGAAATCGGTAAATGGGTGGTTTATAGTACTCATTCGATAGAAAAAATGGAGTTCTAGTGAAATAGTTACGATTTTTGTCGACTAGTACATTGGAATTGGCCGAAAATAGGGCTCAAAGTGGGCAAAATTGCCGATGCGTAAACGTCGTCGAGACCACTAACTTCGCGAGAGCATAATTCCGTAAGTTTTCCATCAAATTTCATACTTTTGGTGTTATTATGATCAGGAAAAAAATCTCTATCTTTTCATAAGAAAAAATAATTTTTTTTTTTAAATTTGGGCGACTCTGAGAACAAGTCTCTGAGAGGGCCTGGCGACCCCCAAAGGGTTAAATGTTTCCTCTTTTTTGGGTCACTTTATCTCAGCTGAAGACAGCCAGTGTGTTAAAAAAATATATAATGAAATACAATGGTTGAATATTGTAGTTTGTGGTAATATAATAAACTTTAAAAAATTATATTAATATTACCTTTCATAAGAATAGGCAAGGCTGTATCTTGTTCACAATGAATTTCACCCATCACTATCCACACAGTTCCCATTGCATTCCATGCAACTTCAGGGATACCGAATATAACTCTGCAAAATCATAAACTTTCAATAAATTTAAAATGCATCAGATGGATAATTAGTAATGTTCATTATTTTTCCAAGAATGCAATCAATGCACAGTCAATAAATTATGTTACTAACTCCATATAGAGCAATGCTTAATACCTTAACTTAAAAGGAAAAACACAAAAGAAAACCCTCAATATAACAGAATGGAGGGGTAGGAAAAAAAAAGCACTGGAGTATTCTCCTGTATATACAATTAACAGATACCCTATGCTGTACTGCAGATTTTGCCCATTGTTTCAAAAGTCTGCTGTATCAAGATCCATTATCCTGAGAGTTTACCATGTAATTTTTAGATATTTTACTGTACCTACATAACTATTTGTTTTAAGATCAGAACATATATTTCAAGTTAAGCATAATTAAACAAGCACCTAGTCACAAGAAGATGAGACACTCGTTTGCGGGGAGCAGTGTTCATAATGGTTCCACGGCTGCTGAACAATACCAGTGCCACAGTTATTATGAGTGTTATTCCCAAGATAACCATGCTACCCAAGAGGAAGAGGCGGAGAAGGTGACTGCCACTGCTGCACATGGAGGTGTCAGATTCATGATGGATAAATAGTGTCAGTGCCAGCCCGAGCCTGTTAGGAAAGTGCAGAACAAGTTTTAGCCAGAGTTGATGTATTTACCATAATGTTATGCTGATGCATTTACCTAAATGTCATGGAGTGTTTGCAAGTTTTTAAAAGAATTTTACATTTATTAACTGGAAAAATAGATATATGTATAAAAAACTTGCAAATAATGATAAAATGTTGAAAAAAATAGTAGACAGAACAATGATAATTTTAATTACTTTCTTAAGTCATAAGAGATCTTAGGCAAGGAAGCAGAACCAAAAGATTACATTTACTGGTACAGTAGGACCCTCCCGTATCCATGGTTTCAGATTCAGTTATCCATGGTTTACCATGGCCCGAAAATAACCCTTAATTATGCTTAATAATGGCTCCCAAAGCACAAAAATAGTGATTATGTTAATTCTTCAAAGCCTAAGAGAAGCCATAAACTGCTTCCCATCAGTGAATGTGCTAATTTTCAATTTTTTGTGCACAATTTTCAATTTAACTTTATCATAGATATGTAAATGAAAAAGACTTATAAACAGGGTTTGCTACTATCCACAGTAGGTCTTGGAATGTATCCCCCATGGATACGGAGGGACTACTGTATTAATTAATTAAGTAAATCTATGGAATGGTGGTGTAGATCGTGGATTTAACAAAACCCAAACCACAAATATCATAGTAACAGAACTAGACAGTATCATAGGGCCAGGTACAAGGTCAAGGAGAATCAAAAGCAAAACAATGTGCCTGGAACACTGCCTTTTTTCACATGATTCTGAGATAAAATAGCAAAACAATCAGCAAAGCCAATAATTATATAATGGTAGAAAGCACCCAGTCAAAGCATGGGTATGCCCAAACACCAAACACCCCCTTCATCCAAGGAACTGAACCAGTCCTCCCATTCCTTGTATGTAACCAGATTGCCATCCATTCCCCTAGGTGCTCTATGAGCCTACGAGTTTAGAGCTCCCCCACACAATAACACCAAACAACAATGCCAAAGAGAAAATAAATGGATTGGTGGAGAGAATGACAAAATTAGAACAAAGCCAGGTAAGACAAGAAGGGCTGATAGATAAAATGAAGAAAAATTAAAATTTAGAGAGTGAAATAAAATTAATGAAGATTTCTTAACAACTTATGCAGAAAAAAGTTTGAGTTAGCTGATATTATAAAGGAAACAGTAGAAAGAGGCAAAAAAATACAGTCATTATAAGGAAGATAAAGTCGGAGTATACAAAAAAAAACAGATTCATCAAATGAAATCATTGAACTGACACTGAAAAAGATATAAAACAAATTTCAATGTTTCAACAACTTCTCCTGTATTAGATAACTTAGGGGCAAAGCTACTGAGGCTGAGTGTATGTTGGATTGTTTGATAGTTTATATTTTGGTTACCAGTGATCATAACGACACCTGTAAGCTTAGTATGGAAGAAAAGAAAATTGGATCACAATGGACAGTGATTATTTAAAAAATCTCTGACAGTGTGCCTTTAAGAATTAAGGACGAAATTAAAACTAAAAATTAAATGAGCCAACATTAGGGTACAGGAATAAAGCAAATGTTCAGTTCTTTGTTGTATCTCCAGTTTAATTAGTATTTTGTATGTAAAATGGTGTAAAACAGAATAAGATCAATGATTTGTATTGTTTTGATTTCTTTTGTGGACACTGATGCTATGAAGGAGTAACAAACCAAAAGACACAACTTGATATACAGGTGCAGTCAGCTCATATCACAAAAAAGACCGGCAAAAACATTGAGATGAAAGGATTAGATGAATATGATGCAGAAAATGAAGAAAAAACAGAAATAAAACAACAAGTTGTACAATATTAACTGAAGAAATTACAGCAAAGGCAACCATTAATCTTGAAAAAAAAATAGCAAGCAATTCGAAGCTGTTTAAGGAAATTATAGACATGGATATTTATCTTTTATGTGCTCAGAAAAATCAAATCAAGGTCAGAAACCACGTCAGTATCTCACAAACACTTACCATCCTGCACGTAACAGAACTTCTATAATGCCAGGTATGACGAGGTCATCACTTCCAATACGCCACCGTCGCTGGAAAACCACTAGTGCTGGCATCTTCCTTCACTACCGTATGTACTATCTGAATGTAGTAGTCAGAAAATTATTGTAACCCACTTTAGAGGCTATTCCCAGTAATATCAATACTGTGTTGGTGCACAGTAAAGGTTGGAGGCTGACAATTTCACACGCTTTGGAAAAAAATATTGAAAAATTATGGAAATTGAGTTATTCATATAGAAAAATAGCTTAACTCTTTGGTAACACAATGGTACAAGAATCAATGTTCTATGACGTTTCTACAAGAAATTATAGTCATTTACATCAGGTATGGTGATGGTGATGTGGGTAGCACGTCTGCTCACAGCCCATATATTTTTTGGATTTTTTTCCTCGTTTTTTATCGCTTTTTCTTGCATTATTCTTTCTAATATAATAATTGACTATTTGGCATCATATAAGAGTAGGTGGAGCTTATCAATAGACTTCTAGCCAATCAAGAAGCACCTGGGAACACCGGCAGTATTCCCAGTCCAGAGAGTGCCAGGTGAAATCACTTCATTATTACACTTATATCAGCTTATGTATCAACTCTACGGCTTATTTATCTATCAGAATTGATCTAATATGATATAATAAACACTATAAATAACATACAAACATGTTATATACAGTGGACACTCGACCAACGATGGCATCGTCTAACGTTAAATCCGACTAGCGATACATTTTAAGGCAAAAATTTTGCCTTGACTAGCGCTAAAAAACTCAACCAACACGATTCGTTCCGTTCGAGATGCGTCCACTTGTGGCCAGTGTTTACAAGCCAGCCAGCCACCGCGGTCCCATCCAAACATACAATCAGAACATTTCATATTACCACAGCGTTTTTAGTGACTGCACCTGCAAAATAAGTCACCATGGGCCCCAAGAAAGCTTCTAGTGCCAACCCTACAGCAAAAAGGGTGAGAATTACTATGGATATGAAGAAAGAGATCATTGCTAAGTATGAAAGTGAAGTGCGTGTCTCTGAGCTGGCCAGGTTGTACACAAAACCCCAATCAACCATCGCTACTATTGTGGCCAAGAAAATGGCAATCAAGGAAGCTGTTCTTGCCAAAGGTGCAACTATGTTTTCGAAACTGAGATCACAAGTGATAGAAGATGTTGAGAGACTGTTATTGGTGTGGATAAACGAAAAACAGATAGCAGGAGATAGCATCTCTCAAGCGATCATATGTGAAAAGGCTAGGAAGTTGCATGAGAATTTAATTAGAAAAATGCCTGCAACTAGTGATGATGTGAGTGAATTTAAGGCCAGCAAAGGTTGGTTTGAGAGATTTAAGAATCGTAGATGGCATACATAGTGTGATAAGGCATGGTGAGGCTGCCAGTTTGGACCAAAAAGCAGCTGAAAAATATGTGCAGGAATTCAAGGTGTACATAGACAGTGAAGAATTGAAAACTGAACAAGTGGTTAATTGTGACACTGACAATGTTGTGAAACACTTTAGGAATGTCATAAAGGAACGGGAGGCACAGGCCTCTATGGGCAGATATGTTGTGCGACAGAGGTCCAGTGATTCTCAAGCTGGTCCTAGTGGCATTAAAAGAAGAAGGGAAGTAACCCCGAAAAAGGACTTGACACCTCAAGTCCTAATGGAAGGGAATTCCCCTTCTAAACACTAACACCATCCACACTCTCCCCTCCTCCCATCCCATCAATCATCACCAGATCTTCAATAAAGGTAAGTGTCATGTAATTGTACATGTCTTCTTCAGTTTGTGTGTATTAAAATTAATATTTCATGTGGTAATTTTTTTTTTTTCAATACTTTTGGGTGTCTTGCATGGATTAATTTGATTTCCATTATTTCTTATGGGGAAAATTAACTCGACTAACGATAATTTCGATTAACGATGAGCTCTCAGGAACGGATTAATATCGTTGGTTGAGGGTCCACTGTACTCTAGACTGAATAAAATCGGCAATAATATGGCGAGAGTCCACCAGCAATATTTCAATGTAAATGAGTTACTCCTCGTCTCCATGTCGTATTCTTTGGTCTTTGAGTGATAGAAAACGGTGTTTTGAAGAGGATAACTGGACTAGAACATCAGTTTACTAAGGAAACCACAGAAACAAACGCGATTTTCGCGAAAAAAAAAAAAATTTGAGACGGCGGGCCGGCCGACTTTCCAGGCCAATATCTCGGAAGTAACTTATTCACATATTTCGCTGTACTACGCCAATATTAATGATTGTATTGAAATGATTTTCACAGACAATATAAAACAGTTGGGATTGTCAGAAGTGCCACTCGTAGTGCCAATTTGTCATGTCATGCTGCCATATATCAAAAGTCATTAAATATTTTTTTCTCTGTTGTTTGTTGGTCAATCATACTGAAACTGTCACATTCTTCTACATATGCACCTCTTAACGTAAACCAAAAATAAAAAAAATCGGTTGAAAAATAAAAAAGTTAGCCGCAATTATGAGCGTCCAACCTAAAAGCACTTGCTAGATTTACACTTAAGATTAAGAAATGTAATTTTTTCTCCAAAGTTATAATAATTTTACAGTATGACTTCAACAATTATGTACAGTATTACATAACATGAAGTTACTCTGAATAATTTTAACCTATCAGATGTCCTAGGAAAGAACCTCAATGATAATTAGTCACACTGACTTTACCGAGATATCATGCCATTTTGTATCTATACAATAAATGTGCTCTCATAGCCACTGTAAAGATTTATATGGCATCCAGAATGGTCACCAGCCTTTCAAATCATTGATGTCAATGAGTTACCCAGGTGAAAGGGTTAGATTTATTACAATACAGTACATTACTCAAGAAATCGTAATGACACGATTGCAAACAAACCATACCCCTGCCCGGGATTGAACCAGCGGTCATAGAGTCTCAAAACTCCAGCCCGTCACGTTAGCCACTAGACCAGCTAGTCACAATAAGATTCATCCAACTAGGTATATTTCTACACCATAGGAAGGTTAGCACAGGCACCTCTGTGACCACAAATGCAAGTTTTTACAGACGAATCTCCAGCTAGCGTGGCCGTGACGAACTCTAGCTCAAGTTTTGAGACTCTATGACCGCGGGTTCAATCCCGGCCGGGGGTATGGTTTGTTTGCAATCGTGTCATTACGATTTCTTGAGTCATGTTGACGGCAGTGAAGGGACTTGAGCTAGAGTTCGTCACGGCCACGCTAGCTGGAGATTCGTCTGTAAAAACTTGCATTTGTGGTCACAGAGGTGCCTGTGCTAACCTTCCTATGGTGTAGAAATATACCTAGTTGGATGAATCTTATTGTGGCTAGCTGGTCTAGTGGCTAACGCGACGGGCTGGAGTTTTGAGACTCTATGACCGCGGGTTCAATCCCGGCCGGGGATATGGTTTAATACAGTATATTATTATTATTTACGGAGAGCACTAAACCTGGAGTAGTTGCAAAGCACCTTGGGGAAAAAGTGAAAATTATGTTCATTTCAAGAAAATGTATGGTACCTTTAATTCTTTGGATCAAGAGCCATCCACAGGTTCATAAAAGGTATAATATATAACTGAGTTAGCCAGCAACATAATTTAGGATTACCTGGCGAGAGTTCCGGGGGTCAACGCCCCCGCGGCCCGGTCTGTGACCAGGCCTCCTGGTGGATCAGAGCCTGATCAACCAGGCTGTTACTGCTGGCTGCACGCAATCCAATGTACGAGCCACAGCCCGGCTGGTCAGGTACCGACTTCAGGTGCTTCTCCAGTGCCAACTTGAAGATTGGTAATCCCCCTTATGTATGCTGGGAGGCAGTTGAACAGTCTCGGGCCCCTGACACTTATTGTATTGTCTCTTAACATGCTAGTGACACCCCTGCTTTTCATTGGGGGGATGTTGCATCGTCTGCCAAGTCTTTTGCTTTCGTTGCGAGTGATTTTCGTGTGCAAGTTCGGTACTAGTCCCTCTAGGATTTTCCAGGTGTATATAATTATGTATCTCTCCCACCTGCGTTCCAGGGAATACAGGTTCAGGAACTTTAAGCGCTCCCAGTAATTGAGGTGTTTTATCTCCGTTATGCGCTCTGTGAAGGTTCTCTGTACATTTTCTAGGTAAGCAATTTCACCTGCCTTGAAAGGTGCTGTTAGTGTGTAGCAATATTCCAGCCTAGATAGCAGCTGCGATTGATATAATGTTATGGTCCCTGAAGGTGAGATCCTCCGACACGATCACTCCCAGGTCTTTGACGTTGGTTTTTCGCTCTATTTTGTGGCCGGAATTTGTTTTGTACTCTGATGAAGTTTTAATTTCCTTGTGTATACCATATCGGAGTAATTGAAATTTCTCATCGTTGAACTTCATATTGTTTTCTGCAGCCCATTGAAAGATTTGGTTGATGTCCGCCTGGAGCCTTGCAGTGTCTGCAATGGAAGACACTGTCATGTAGATTCGGGTGTCATCTGTAAAGGAAGACATGGTGCTGTGGCTGACATCCTTGTCTTTGTCAGATATGAGGATGAGAAACAAGATGGGAGCGAGTACTGTGCCTTGTGGAACAGAGCTTTTCACCGTAGCTGCCTCGGACTTTATTCTGTTGACTACTACTCTTTGTGTTCTGTTTGTGAGGAAATTATAGATCCATCTACCAACTTTTCCTGTTATTCCTTTAGCACCCATTTTGTGCGCTATTACGCCATGGTCACACTTGTCGAAGGCTTTTGCAAAGTCTGTATATATTACATCTGCATTCTTTTTTCTTTTTGACTTCTAGTGCATCTAGGACCTTGTCGTAGTGATCCAATAGTTGACACAGACAGGAGCGACCTGCTCTAAACCCATGTTGCCCTGAGTTGTGTAATTGATGGGTTTCTAAATGGGTGGCGATCTTGCTTCTTAGGACCCTTTCAAAGATTTTTATGATATGGGATGTTAGTGCTATCGGTCTGTAGTTCTTTGCTATTGCTTTACTGCCCCCTTTGTGAAGTGGGGCTATGTCTGATGTTTTTAGTAGCTGTGGGACGACCCCCATGTCCATGCTCCCTCTCCATAGGATGGTAAAAGCTCGTGATAGGGGCTTCTTGCAGTTCTTGATGAACACGGAGTTCCATGAGTCTGGCCCTGGGGCAGAGTGCATGGGCATGTCATTTATCACCTGTTCGAAGTCATTTGGCATCAGGATAACATCAGATAGGCTTGTGTTAACGAAATTCTGTGGCTCTCTCATAAAAAATTCATTTTGATCTTCGACTCTCAGTCAGGTTAGCGGCTTGCTAAAAACTGAGTCATATTGGGACTTGAGTAGCTCACTCATTTCCTTGCTGTCATCTGTGTAGGACCCATCTTGTTTAACCCTTAAACGGTCCAAACGTATATATACGTTCACTTGCGCAGCACCTCAAATTTTTTGAGGAAAAAAGAAATCTTTTCTTTTAAAAGGAAAAAAGAGCATATGGTACCCAGGCATCCCCAATTATTTTAATATGGAACACAGTGAGTGCACACACCCATTCTCTCATGTCTAGGTGACTCAGGCTTATTGTGGCAATGTTGAATGAATGACAAAGAAAACGTATACATACGTTTGGGGCGCTACGCGCGTGAACGTTTATATACGTTTGGACCGTTTAAGGGTTAAGTAGGGGCCCAATACTGGTTAGTGTTTGCCAATGATTTTATTTAATTTGACAGTAGCAAAATATTGGATAATGCACCTGACTAATCAGTGATTTGGTAATGTATTGGCAAGATTACTAGATTTCATTTATACCAGTGTATAAAATAACTTTTAAATTTTATGAATAAAACTTATACACAAATAATTTGTGGGATGTGTGTGTGTAATAGCTTTTAAAATTAAACCTAGTAACCGTTACTGGCAGCTACCCAGAAGAACTCATTCCTTATTTAACATTTCACAACACATGCAACCCATGTACATGTCAATACCAGTTCCAGCATGAGCCAGTTCAGAAAGAGAACTCCAGTAGCTTGGTTGGTAATGCACTTGACTCACACACTGAGGTCCGTGATTCGATCCACTGTATGAGAGGAAACATTGGGTGTGTTTCCTTAAGACACCTGCTATCCCTGTTCACTTAGCAATAAGCAGGTACCTGGGTCTTAGTTGGCTAGTGTGGATCATATCCTGGGGACAAAATTAACCTAATTGTCCGAAATGCTCTACCGCCAGTTCAACAACATTCATCTTTGCAAATATACAGGGTCTAAAGCTAGCAAAGAACAACAAAATACCTTTCATCTGTGGACTGCTTACCATGTCCACTGCAATGTTCATGGTTTTCACAGACACCCACATAAAGGATCACCTTGACAATAAAACATGGATCACGGGTTACAACCTATACAGATACGACAGTGTGAACAGGCAAAAGGGGAGGGAAGGGGGGGTGGCTGTATATCACAGTAACTCATATGCTCGGAACTACTATACGCCCCAAATGATGTAGTTGAAGTTTTGACAGTAAAGCTCAAGAACCAAACCTGGTAATTGTGGTTGTATACAAGCCTCTGGATGCAACTTCCCAACAATTCCAGGAACAGCTTTTGAAAATTGATCACTGTCTGGAAAATCTTCCAGCTCCAGCCCCCAACATCTTAATCCTGGAGGATTTCAAACTAAGGTACCTAAAATGGAGGAATGTAGCAAATAATGTTGTAGCAGAGATAACACCAGGAGACAGCTCAGATGAAAACTCACCTACACACATGAGCTTTTAAATCTCTGCACCAAATTCACCTTAAACCAACAAATAATAGAGCCTACAAGATTGGAGAATACACTGGACCTTATGTTCACTAACAATGATATTCTGATACAAAATATTACCATATCAAAAACAACATACTCAGATGACAACATAACAGAGGCTCAGACATGTATGCACGGGCCCCCAGACCAACAAAATGTGATCAGTTACGAGGGAGCCTTCACCAAATTCAACTTCAGTAACAAAAACATAAGGTGGGACCACATAAACCAGGTCCTAAATGATATAAACTGGAAAAATAGCCTAAGCAACATAGATCCAAACCTTTGTCTAGAACAAATACACTCTGTGGCACTCAAGGTATGCTCAAGGCATATTCCTTTAAGAAAAAGGAGGAGAAACTGTAAACTAGAAATAAAAAGGTGCTCCCTATACAGGCAAAGGTAAAGAATAAAAAGATCAGCTAAAAGAGGCCAATATATCTGGAATACATAGGGAGACAATGGTCAGAGAAATAGCAAACATCGAACTAAAGCTAGAAGAATCTTACAGGAGTCAAGAAACGCAGGAAGAACTAAAAGCCATAAATGAAACTGAAAAGCCCAAAATATTTCTTTTCTTATGCCAAATCAAAGTCAAGAACAACATACAGTAATGGGCCCCTACTTAAACGAGATGGGTGCTACACAGATGACAGCAAGGAAATGTGAGAGCTACTCCCAATATCACTCGATTTTTAGCAAGCCGCTAACCAGACCGAGTTGAAGGCCTAAATGAATTTTTTATGAGAGAGAGACAGAATCTGGTAGACTTGAACCTATCTGATATTATCCTGATGCCAAATGGCTTCGAAAAGGCGATAAATGACATGCCCATGCACTCTGTCCCAGGCCCAGACTCATGGAACTCAAGTGTTCATCAAGAACTGCAAGAAGCCCCTTTCATGCTCTTTTAACATCCTATGAAGAGGAAACATGGACACAGGGGTCGTCCCACAGCTGCTAAAAACAACACACATAGCCCCACTCCACAATGGGGGCAGTGAAGCAATAGCAAAGAACTACAGACCGATAGCACTAACGTCTCATATCATAAAAATCCTTGAAAGGGTTCTAAGAAGCAAGATTGCCACCCATCTAGATACCCATCAGTTACACACCCAGGGCAACATGGGTTTAGAGCAGGTCACTCCTGCCTGTCCCAACTACTGGACCACTATGACAAGGGCCTGGATGCTCTAGCAAACAAACAAAATTCAGATGTAGTATACACAGACTTTGCAAAAGCCTTTGACAAGTGTGACCATGGTATAATAGTGCACAAAATGTGTGATAAACGAATAACAAGAAAAATTGGTAGATGGATCTATAATTTCCTAACAAACAGAACACAAAGAGTAGTAGTAAACAGAGTAAAGTCTGAGGTGGCTACTGTGAAAAGCTGCTCCACAAGGCACAGTACTCACCCCCATCCTGCTCCTCACCCTTATATCTGACATAAGACAGGAATGTAAGCCACAGCACCGTGTCTTCCTTTGCAGATAACACCCAAATCTGCATGACAATGTCTTCCACTGAAGACACCGCAGGACTCCAGGCGGACATCAGCCAAATCTTTAAATGGGCTGCAGAAAACAACATGAAGTTCAACGATGAGAAATTTCAATTACTCCGATAGGGAAAATGTGAGGAAATTAAAACTATATCGGAGTATAAAACAAATTCCAACCACATAATAGAGCAAAAAACTTATGTATAAGACCTGGGAGTGATAATGTCAGAGGATCTTACCTCCAAAGACCATAACATTGTATCAATTACATCTGCTAGAAAACTAACAGGATGCCTATGAGAACCTTCAAAATTAGGGATGCCAACCCCATAATGACACTCTTCAGGTCACTTGTTTTATCTAGGCTAGGATATTGCTGCACACTAACAGCACCTTTCAAGGCAGGTGGAACTGCTGACCTAGAAAATGTACAGAGAACCTTCACGGCACACACAACTGCATTAAAACACCTGAATTACTGGGAATGCTTGAAGTTCCTCAACCTGTACTCCCTAGAATACAGGCAGGAGAGATACATGATTATATACACTTGGAAAATCCTAGGGGGATTAGTACCAAACTTGCACACGAAAATCACTCCCTATGAAAGCAAAAGACTCAGCAGACGATGCAACATCCCCCCAATAAAAAACGGGTGCCAGTAGCTCGCTTGGCTTGAAGACAGCCAGACCCCTGGCTGTCTTCAAGAAGGCGTGGACAGGCACCTCAAGCCAGTACCTGATCATCCAGGCTGTGGTTCGTACGTCGGATTGCATGCAACCAACAGTACCAGCCTGGTTGATCAGACCCTGATCCACCATGAGGCCTGGTCACAGACTGGGATGTGGGGATGCTGGCCCCTGAAATCCTCTCCAGGGATACTCCAATCAGGTCTGTATAAGTTATATAGTGTGCTAGTAGAAATAAAGATTATTATTATTATAACTAAAATGTAACTTATGAATGAAGCTACAGAAAGGGAGAAGAGTGATCTGTAGTATAGTTAACGTTCATGTACCTATTATTGTATGCTTATCCTCTATATTTAATGTTCATGTAAATAACTCATTCACTTTATTCCTATTATGGCTCTTTTTGCTGTAACTGATTTTCACACAGTTGAGGTACTTAGCTGTTTTAATTTTTAAGAGTATAATGCACTGTATTATTTAAAGCTAGGCTTTATATAAAATATTATAAAGATTCCAAAGGAAACAAGTCACTAACTTTTTTTTAGGTTATCCTATTTAATTTACAACTACTCAATTTAAGATTCTTCTCAAAAACCACTTACTCACCCTAAACTAAATACTCAATATTTACCTTTACCCAAAAATCTCCCAATCACCTAAATCTTTAAACTTCAAAACGTGATGCCCAAAGTTCATACCTTGATTAAAAGTACCTTGTAGTATAAATACCTACCCAAAACCTGACTGCCTTACACCCAATTGTAACATTCTCATACTGTAAACTACTTTCAACAACTCACACTCTTTTATTCCCATAATATAATTTCAATATTTACTATTGAAAATATTGTAATTTGAGTAAAATTACTGTGTACTATAATTAAACAAGATGTACAACTTAAACAAACTATGTTCAATTTCTTTAGTATCAGTTAGTCTGTAAGCCATTAAATTAAGTCTGCCCATAATGCCTAGGCATGATAGTGACTCTTTTTGCACTGCAATTCATTTTTGTAATTTCATAATCTCAGTGTAATCTTGCAAGGAAATAAAAATTGATTGATTGATATGATGATTGTACCTATGTGTACTTGTACCTAAATTAACTAAGTAAATGTAGCCTAAACTAACCTTAACTAAACCTAACCTAACCTAATTTCTTTTCATTAATATCTCTTAAATAACAATTTGCATAAGAAATACTTATTCCATGATGTATGAAAGGTGTGTAGTGAAAATATGTTAATGCCCAAGTTCCATTCAGTAGCTGTAGGTCGTTGTGGTAGAAACCCAGTACTGGTTAATGGCTAACTTATTATTTATTTTAAGTATTTAATAACATAATTTTTTTGTTTACTACGAGTTTGCTGCCATTGATATTATGGATACAGATACAGGAACATAAGAATGAGGGAACACTGCAAGTAGGCCTACTGGCCCATGCTGGGCACCTCCAACTTGGCACAACTCAGTATGTCAAATAATGTGACAAATATCCAATGTGTGTTGAGAAAAGTAGTTTTTATTTAGCATAAGACAAAAGCTTTGATTTTGTAACTTTCTTGGCGTATTGTTTAAATAAACCAAGAATAACCCTATGAAATCAATCAGGAAAGTTGTCGTAGTTCTCAATGAACATTATTAAACGTTAAATATATCAGAATATCACACTATACATTACAACTAATAATAATAATACTCAAAACAAGTGAGCCATCAGCCCGTCCCATGACCGGAAACAATTATCATAAGCTACAGGAATCACGTCACTCTCCTACACATTTTTGTCCCTCTTAAAATATCTAAAATCGTAAACAAAATATTAAAGTGCATATGAGTTACCAGATACTAATGAGATGTAGTGATGGTGGCAGCATGATGATGTGTGAGGCTGGTGTGATGTGTGAGGCTGGTGTAGTAACGCCCACCACTCCTTCAATACTCAACCTTTGTACCAACTTGTGTAAGTTTTTACTCAGGTACAGGTACACATAAATATACTTACATATATTATCATACCTAGCAGCATATGTGTAGATTACTAAGGATAACCCAAAAAAGTCAATGTAAGTTTATTTTAATAATAATAATCTTTATTTCTACAAGTACATACACAAGGTATACAGTCCTAGCTGACATTAATGGTATACTATTATATAGAAAGCCGCTTGTAATGCTGAGCATTTCGGGTAAATTAGGTCAATTTTGTCCCAGGATGTGACCCACACCAGTCGACTAACACCCAGGTACCTATTTTACTGCTAAGTGAACATAGTCAGCAGGTGTCTTAAGGAAATACGTGTTAAGGTTACCACCCGTACCGTGGATCGATCCCCGGTCCTCAGTGTCAGCTGAGTACGCAAACAATGAAGCTACAGGACACAAATTTATTTATTTATTTAGTAATTTAAGAATACAAACAGAAGTACAAAAATACAGGTAAGAGCAGCATGCCAAAGCCACTTATATGCATAGCATTATGGGCTGGCTAAAATTAACTTTAGATTAACTAAGCAATGATGAAATCAGTGATAAAACATTATTGTAAACAGATAACTATAAAGCACAAATGAGCACAATAATACAAATTAACATACATATGTAAAATATTTGTAAATTACTTATGAAAACCCCGCAAAAAAGTCAAAGTGATTTATTTCCACTGGGGTAAACAACTTTGATAGGTAAAAGGACGTAAGTGAAACTAATGCGACATTTTACTGTGCAAACGTTTTTTCCGCTCTCCAGGAGCTTCGTCAAGCCGTTACAAACAATACAGGAACACAGTGCGTAAATGTGAATTAATATTATTATTATTATGGGCAAATCACCTTTAATAGGATTACAGGGTATTACCTGAATTATTACTTGCAAGTACGTAATTTAGGTGAGGTAAGTGGAACTTAAGTCACAGTAAGTCGCCTAATCCTCTAAGAAAAAGGAGGAGTAGATGTAAAACAGAAAGAGACAGGCGCTCCCTTTACAGGCGACGGAAAAGAATAACAGAGCGGCTAAAAGAGGTCAATATATCTGAAATGCGTAGGGAGACACTGGTCAGAAAATAGCAAGCATCGACTTAGCTAAAGAATCTTTAGGAGTCAGGAATCGCGGGAGAACATAAAAAGCCTAATGAAATCGAAAGAAAACCTAAGTATTTCTTTCTCCTATGCCCAAATCAAATCGAGAAACAACGTCAGTATACCAGATGGCCCCTACTTAAACAAGATGGGTCCTACACAGATGACAGCATGGAAAATGAAGAGCTACTCAATCCCAATGACTCAGTTTTTAGCAAGCCGCCTAACCTGATCTGAGAAGTCGAAGATCAAAAATTTAATTTTTTATGAGAGAGCACAAATTTGATTAAACAAGCCATCCGTGTTATCCTGACGCCAAATGGCTTCGAACAGGCGATAATTGACATGCCCTGCACTTCCTGCCCAGGGCCAGGGACATGGAAACTCTGTGTTCATTCAAGAACAGCTAGAAGCCCCTATTCACGGACCTTTTCCATCCTATGGAGAGGGAGCTTGGGCACGGGGGTCGTATACCAACTTACTAAAAACAACAGACATAGCCCCTCTCTACATGGGGGAGTTAAAGCAACAGCAAAGAACTACCGACCAATAGCACTAACAATCCATATCATAAAATTCTTTGAATGGGTCCTAAGAAAGCAATATTACCAACATCTAGAAACCCATCAGATACACAACCCAGGGCATCACAGAACAAGGCAACATGGGTTTTAGAACAGGTTGCTCTGTCTGTCTCAACTATTGGATCACTACGACAAGGTCTAAATGCACTAGAAGACAAAAAGAACTGCAGTTGTATATTATACAGACTTTGCAAAAGCTTCGACTAGTGTGACTTGGCGAATAGCGCACAAAATGCGTGCTTAAAGGTATAACGGAAAAGTCGGTCGATGGATCTATAATTTCTCTCATAACAGAACCCACGGAGTGTAGTCGTCAACAGAATAAAGTCCGAGGCAGCTACGGTGAAAAGCTCTGTTCCACAAGGCAACAGTACTCGCTCCCATCTTTTTCCTCATCCTCATATCGAATAGAACAAGGATTTGTCAGCCACAGCACCGTGTCTTCACTTTGCAGATGGACACCCGACTCTGCATGACGTGTCTTCCATTGCAGGCATTGCAAAGCTCCAGGCGGACATAACCAAATTCTTTAAGTGGGTGCAGAAAACAATATGAAGTTAAACGATGATGAAATTTCAATTACTAAGATATTGTAAACATGGAGGAAATTAAATTTCATCAGAGTTACAAAACAAATTTCTGGCCACCAAAATAGAGCGAAACACCAGACGTCCTAAGACCTCGAGGAGTGATTTATGTCGGAGGATCTCACTTCAAGGAACATAACATTGTATCAATGCATCTGCTAGAAAAATGACAGAGACGGTTAATTGAGAACCTTCAAAAACTAGGGAGTGCCAAGCACATGATGACACTCTTCAGGTCATGGTTCTATCTTGGCTGGATATGGCTGCAACACTAAACTGCACTTTCAAGGCAGGTGAATTGCCGACTAGAAAAATGTTACAGAGAATTTCACGGGCGGCACAACGGCGATAAAACTCCTCAATTATTGGGAGCAACTTGAGGTTCCTAACCTGTATTCCCTGGAACGCAGGAGGAGAGATACTTGATTATATACACCTGGAAAATCCTAGAGGGAAAATAGACCGACTTGCACACTGAAAATCACTCACTACCGAAAGCAAAGATTGGACAGCGATGCACCATCCCCCCAAAGGGAAAGCAGGGGTGTCACTTGCACGTTATGAGCCATACAATAAGTGTCAGGGACCCGGAGTGTTCACTGCTCCCAGCATACATAAGGGGGATTACCATACAGGACCCTGGCAGTTTCATGCTGGCACTGGACACGCACCTAAGTACAGTTCCTGATCAGCCGGGTCCTGTGGCTAGTTCGTTGGTTTGGCGTGCAGCCAGCAGCAAACAGCTGGTTGATTCTGGCTCTGATTCCCCAGGAGGCTGGCACAGATCCGGGCCCCGCGGGGGCGTTGACCCCGGAACTCTCTCCAGTGTAAAATCCAGGTAAGGAGATCGGCCCTAAAGTATCAGGCTGTTGGGGCTGAGGGGACAGACACAATGAGACTTTTAGGTCGGAAGTAGGAAGGACGCCTCTCAATGGTAACTGAGTTTATACCAGTGCCACAAAGGGTTATCCAGGCACGTGCCTTAGGTTCTGAGGAATATCATAGGTTTTACCTTCCTCTCAGGAGCAGTTTTTCGACCTTGGTTACATGCATTATCTATTCATACTCGGTAAGAGCAATCACTCTCATCAATATTTTGGCTCATAAAATTAATCAGTTTCAACATTTCTTCAGATGTACTCTCCTAATTTTTTTCTAAATATGAGATGGAGATTTTCTTGACTGGATGTCTTTGGACCGTACATTTATGAGGTCATTTGCTTTCATGTGGTAAGAAGGGTATGGCTAATGAGCAACATTGCAGTCTTTTTCCTGGTTATTTTATTTATACTTTCCAAGCCAAATCAAAGGGGTGGGAACCTATTTAATCCACTAATAAACTGGTCCATTTCCTGTTCCTAAGTTCTTCCTTTCTATTCCTTGCATGTGTTAGTGGGAGCTTGGAACGTTCTGAGCAGGTCGGAGTTCTACATTAGGTAGGCTTTACCAATCCTCCTAGCTGACATTGGTGTTGATTGCATAGCTGTGCATCATTATTGTATTCTACATTGGTTTTTATTGTTATTTTTATAAATTAGGGAGGGTTCTTTGTTTCCTATTCTGGCCCACTTGATCTGTGAATAGATTTTTAGGATTTTGGCACGAAGTGGGCTGTTTATTTTGACACCCCATATCCATCTGTGACTGGTTAGCGCGAGAGATATGGATACACAAAAGGCCTAGGAACTAGGCCCCAAAGGGTTTACAGGAATACATCATGGATTTATATCAAAATATCTATAGTTCACTTATCTGATACAAAGCAAAATTTAGAAATTTGCATTAGTATATCTGGTTATCTTATTTTCATGTTAATATGATATCTTGACATGTCTACTAGAGTTTTATACTGTCTGTCTCTTTATTCCTCACTAAGTGGACATTAGACATAGTGTTTCCAAGAGGTGTCCATTATGCCTGATCACATAATTTACTGTTTTAGTTTGTCATATCTGCTGTGTCCCAAATGCCAGAAGTTATTGTAACCAAGGCCTAAGGCCTGGACTACACCATCAGTCAGTCTGTTCACATTGCAGGTTGCCTCATAAAATACTTATCTACGTTAATGTTATCTTAGTGGGTATAGATTACTCAGGCTTCTAACGGCATTCCTATAACAATCATTTTCATTATCTACTTCTCTCCTAATATTATTCTAATGCTAGACACAGTTATACCAAAGTTATATTCTACATTCTCCTTCTCGATAATCTTCGTTGGCTAACATATCAACCTTATCATGAAGGAGTAATCCAATGTGTGATGGGAACCATAGCAATTGTACATTAATTTCCTTTGTCCCTAATTTTTGAGTATTCTATACCGGGCTTCCCCAATGAGGCATGTTGTTGAGTCATTTACATGAGTCAAGAGCCTTCAATGTGCACAAAG